ATGTATCATTTGCAAATGTATTTTCGCATTGATGGTTTCCTTTGCTGTAGAAAAGCTTTTTCGTTTGACATGATCCCATTTGCTCACTAGCTTTGTTGCCTTGCCTGAGGAGACTGGCACCAAAAATCATTGCTAAGCCCAATATAGGAGCTCACTGCCTATGTGCTCTAGGAGTTTTACAGTTTCAGGCCTTACATTCAAGTCTTTAATCCATTTTGAATTTATTTTGGGGTATGGTGTCAGATACCGGTCCAGTTTGTTTTGCATGTAGCTTTCCATTTTCCCAGCACCATTTATTGAAGAGATGGTCTTTTCCCCATTGTATATTCTTGCCTCCTTTGTCATAGATTAAGTGACCATACATGTGTGGATTTTTTTCTGGGCTGTTTTATTCCCCTGATCTGTGTGTGTTTCCAAGCCAGTACCATACTCTTCTGATCACTATAACTGTGTTGTATTAGTTTGAGATCAGGAAGTGTGGTACCTCTTCTGGCTTTGTTCTTTCTCAAGATTACTTTGGCTGTTGGGAGTCTTTTGTGATTTCATGCAAATTTTAGCATTTCTACTTTTGTGAAAAATGCCATTTTTATTTTGATTGGGATTGCATTGAATCTGTAGATTGCTTTGCTAGAACAATATTAATTCTTCCAACCCATGAGTATGGAATATCCAGTGGAGTTATGTTGTCTTTAGTTTCTTTCATCAGTGTCTTATTTTCAGAGAACAGGTCTTACACCTTCTTGGTTAAAATTATTCCTAGGTATTTTATTCTTTTTGATGCGACTGTAAATGGGATTTTTTTTTCTTAATTTCTCTTTCTGATAGCTCCTTAACAGTACATAGAAATGCGACATTTCTGTATGTTTTGTGTCCTGTGACTAAGGAATTCACTTACTCGAAGTTTTTTGGTAGTGTCTTTAAGATTTTCTTTATATAGTATGTCATCTGTAAATAATGAGTTTTACTTCTTCACTTCCAACTTGAATGACTTATTTCCTTTGTCTAATTGCTCTGGCTAATAAGACCTTCAGTACCATGTTGAGTAAAAGTGGCAAAACCGCACATCTTTGTGTTCCTTTTCTTAGAGGAAAAGCTTTCAGCTTTTCACTGTTGAGTATGATGTTAAGCATTTATCATGTATGGCCTTCATTATGTTGGGTACATTCCTTCTACATCTTTGTTGAGAGCTCTTAACATAAATGATGTCACGTTTTGTCAAATGTTTTTCTACATCTATTGAGGCGATAGGATTTTTATCCTTCATTACATTGTGATGTATCGTGATGGATTTGTGGATGTTGAATAGTCCTTGCAATTCTGAAATAAATCCCACTTGATTGTGGTGTATTTCCTCTTAATGTATTGTTGAATTCAATTTGCTAATGTTTTGTTAAGCGTTTTTGCGTGCTTGTTCATCAGGGATATTGGCCTGTAATTTTCTCTTTTTTTTGTAGTGTCTGTCTGGTTTTGGTATCAGGGTAATGCTGGGTTTGTAAAATGCATTTGGAAGCATTCCTTTCTGTTCAATTTTTTGGAATAATTTGAGAATAGGTAGAATTCACCTGTGAAGGCATCTGGTCCTGGAATTTTGTCTTGGGAGTTTCCAAATTACCAATTCAATTTCATTACTAGGAATGTGTCTAGACTTCTATTTCTTCATGATTCAGTCTTGGAAGGTTGTGTTTGTAGAAATTACCCATTTCTTCTAAGTTGTCCAATTTGTTGGCATATAATTATAGTCTTCTCTTATGATCCTTTGTATTTCTGTGGTGTCAGCTGAACTTCTCTTCTTTCGTTTGATTTTATTTGGGCCTTTTTTGTTTGAGTATGGCTAGAGGTCTGTCGATTTTGATTATCTTTTTAAAGAACCAGTTTTTAGTTTCATTGTTTCTGTAATTTTTTTTAGTCTTAAAATTGCTTATCTCCATTCTGATGTTTATTAACTCCTTCTTTTTTCTTCTTTTTCTAATTTCTTTAGGTATAAAGTTAAATTGTTTATTTGGGATTTTCTTGAAGTAGGCCTGTATCATTGTATACTTCCTTACCCCTTAGAACGGCTTTTGATGTATTCCATAGATTTTTGGCAAGTTGTGTTTTCATTTTCATTTGTTTCAAGGTATCTTTATTTACTATTTGATTTATTTGTTGACCCATTGGTTGTTTAGTAACACGTTTAGGCTCCACATTTTTGTTCCAGTTTTCTTCCTGTAGTTGAATTCTAGTGTCATACCACTGTGGTCAGAAAAGACTTGATATGATTTCAGTCTTCTTTAATTTACTGAGAATTGTTTTGTTGCCTAATATGTGGTCTACCCTGGAGAATGTTCATGTGCACTTGAAAAAACTGTTTTCTGAAGTTTTGGATGAAACGTTCTCTACATATCTATTGTCCATGTGGCTTAATGTGTCATGTAAGGCCAGTGTTTCCTTACTGATATTCAGAGTGCATGGACAATCTACTCATTGATGCAAGTGGAGTATTAAAGTCGCCTCCTAGTATTTTATTACTGGCAACTTCCCCTCTTAGTTCTCTCAATATTTGCTTTGTATATTTAGGTGCTCCAAGGTTTAATGTGTAAATATTTATGAATATTATAGCCTCTTTTCAGATTGACTCCTTTAACATTGTTATGCTTTTGTTAGTCTTTGAAAGTGTTTTGTCTGATGTGAGTATTGCTATACCAGTTGTTGATTTAATGGAATATCTTTTTCCATCCCTTCACTTGCAGTCTGTGTATATCAAGTGTATCTCTTGTAGGTACTTTTTTAATCCATTCAGCCATCCTGTGTCTTTCAATTTGAGCATTTGGTCCATTTAAAGTAATTATTGATAAGTACTTATTGTCAGTTCATGTTTTCTGGTTGTTTTTGTAGTTCTCTGTTCCTTCTTTTCTTATCTCTTCCCTTGTGGTTTGCTGCTGTTCTTTAGTCTTATGTTTAGATTCTTATTTTTTGGTATCTTTTGTAGATTTCTGGGGTGTGGTTATGAATTCATATGTATTGACTGTGTTTAACTTTTAAGTTGATAGCTACTTAAGTTTGAATACATCCTAAAAGTACATTTTTACTCCCCCCACTTGTTTTTTGATGTCTTATTTTACATCTTTATCCTTTAATTTTTGTAGCTATAGTACCTTGTGAGTGACACACCACCTTTACATATTTTACCTTTACATTGAGATTTATACATTTGTATTCTCTTCTTACTAATTATAATTAGCACCTATTTTTTTTCTTTTAGCTTAAAGAAGTCCCTTTAATATTTCTTGTTAAGGCCTGTCTAGTGGTGGTGAACTCTGGCTTTTGCTTGTCTGGGATGCTGTTTTGCCTTCAATTCTGGACGATAACCAGGCCAGGTAGAGAGTTTTGGTTGGAAGTGTTTCCCGCTCAGCACTTTAAATCTATCCAGATGCTTCCTTCTCCCCTGCAGCGTTTTTGCTCTCAGATCAGCTGACAGTTGTCGTCTTGGTGCGGATCTCTTTGGCTTCTTCTTGTTTGGGTCACTCACTGATTCGTGGACCTGGATGTCTCCTCTGGGTTAGGAATGTTTCAGCCATAATCTCTTCAACTAAGTTTTCTGCCCTTCTTTCTTCTTCTGGGGCTCCTATGCTTTAATACACTTGACGTCCCAGAGGCCCCTTAATCTATCTTTTTGTCTTCCTGATCACTGATCCATTCTTCTTTGTCATGTACCCTGCTGTGGAGTCCTTTTAGTGTATTTTTCTGTTCAGTTTATTGTATTCTTCAGCTCTGGGACTCTTGGTTCTTATGCCCTGTTGAAATTCTCTGTGTGTTCATTCATTCTTCCAAGTTCAGTGAGCATCACTTTGAACTCTTTAAGGTAATTTACTTACCTCTGTTTTGTAAGGGTTTTGTTTTCCAGGTTTTTATCTTCTTCCATTTGGAACCTATTCTTCTATCTTTTCATTTTGTTTAACTTTATGTTTGTTTCTATAAATTAAGTGGAACAGTTACTTCCTAGTCCTGAAGGAGTGGCCTTGTGTGGGAGTGTCCCACGGTGGCTGCAAGCCTGGTTTGAACTGTCTGGAGAGGCCAGGAGTGCCCTGGTGGGATGGCTGGAGCAGGCGCAGTCTGACCTGACCGGGGCTGCCAGAACTGGAGAGGGGGAGGGCTGCGGAGTCTCAGCGCATGGCATGCTGGGGTGTTTCTGGCGGGACAGCAGGAGCTGGTGTGGACTAGGACCCGTGGCTCACTGGGGCAGCCCTCACAGAGGGGCTAGAGCACTTGGACCCTGCTCCGATCTGCATTATCAAGGTGGACAAGGAGCATAATGCTACTCGCTGGCATTGCCGGCACCGCTGACGTGGGAGAGAGTTCCAGCAATTCCACCACCATGTGGCAGATGCTGTAAGGTTAGTGAATGTGTTTCATTCATATTATAGTTTAGTTGCCTTTTAAGCGATTGTTTTTTGTTTGTTTTTGCTGTGCCCCAGGGTAGGTGAGTCTGCACATGACCCCTCACTGATATCCCTTCCCTACTGTCTGTCATTGCTTTGGGGTGGGGTTCCCCCTCATCACTTTATCTGCCTCTTCCCCTTTGCTTTGTAAATCCCTAGTTGGCTGCACAGAAGCTGGTCAGTCAGTCCACAGATGTTCTTCAGGAGGAGATGCAGCACGGTAGGTGCAGTTTGCTGTGTCCACCAGGAGGTGAGTTCAGGATCTTTCTATGGTGTGCCTGGGACTGCCTCACCCACCCATTCAGGGTAAAACTGTGATGGCCTCTCAAACTACTATACAAACTAATGCCACTTAACCTTTTTCAGTCATTTAATTTGAATGACCAAGTAATGTTAAATTCTGACAGGGCCACACAACCAGCAAAACTGAAAAGGTTGCTGCAACAGTAAGAAATGTCCAACCCAAATAAAGTTTGGTTTTTTCTCTCTGGTCTCCTTTGTGGAAAACTGAAGTAAAAATAGCTACCCTTCTAAGTTTTCAAAAACAGTTTTTATTTATAAAAGTACAGTTTCAGAAGGCAATCGGCAGAAACATGAGACTGGCCTGTCTCCTACTCAAGGAGCTTTTCTAATTGATGGTTGATATTTTGCAGATGACCTTCCGCTCCCAAGAGGGTTCTTGCTTTGAACAACATAGCTGGAAGGCTGGACGAATCATACTGTTAAAGGAAAATTACATAACAGGTATAAAAACTCTGATATCTGCATTTTATATAGCTCAGTGTTTTGGGCAGTTTTTAATCTTTCCATAAACTATTCCTTTCAGTTTAAAAAAAATTAGGACCATTAAGGAAATTGGTTTAACTCCATTTCTTTAGGACATACATTTAAGGTTGCAAGTGAACTAACTGCTCTATAAAGCTTGAGTTGATCTCGTCTTCTGGGATGAGAACTGAGGCGTTTGAATTATTTAAAAGTCATGTCTGGTAGCGACCAACACTTGGCTTGGACAAGTCTGCTAGAGCTCTGGGGTCTGCTTGGCCTCATGCCTACTGAACACAGGGAACTGTAAGGCAGATTTACCTTTGCTATGAGAACACCAGGCCCATGAAAGTTTGAGGAGGAAAAGTCCATCTAGAAAATTTACTTACTTAAATGTCTTAAAAGTTTCCTTTCCTTACTTACTGGGAAGATTATTGGAAACTTTTAATTAATGTTCTTAATGATTAAAGACCAAACTAGAATACAAATCCAACATAAAATAGAAAACGTGACTCATGATTTTGAAGTAAATTTCATGTTATAAATTGTATCAAAGGGAAAGTAAATTCTCCTTGCAGAATCTTACTTAATATCTGTTGTTTACTAGCCTATTTTCAAGGTGGTTTTCTTAGTAATGAAAGTTGAGCAGGAAAAACTGTCAGACTGTGGCTACCACCCCCATAATAATGGAATTCTTTCTAGAATATAGTAACCTACATCACTATGGAATTCAGTTTTACAGATATTTTACAGCCTAATGTGTTCAAGTTCTCTGAGGCATAAATATCCTAAGATTCTTCTCTATTCTAGCCTTGGTCAGGTAGCCAAGGAAGTGATGGTAGCACAGATGCTGTGGGTGGACTCAGTACTGCTGCGTCTGCATCTCCTTCCTCAGTGCTCTGGCTCTCCAGCCTGCAGACCTGTGTCGCCCAAAGCACAACGGAAGGTAAGAATTAAAGTTACCGTTTCTTTTACATTTGGTTCTTTTTCCTGAATATCTGAATAATCCTGATGAAGCTGTTTTAAATTAGATAAGAAATATGCTGCATTCCTAAGCAAGGATCTTCTCTCCTCGAGTTCATCATGTTTTGTTTGTAGTTGTTTCAGCTGAGGTTCTAACCTGAAACAAAAACATTTTTCCCCAAAATAAATGATGTATGATAAAGTGTTAACAGTATAGTGCAGGAGATCGAGTATGTAAGTGTACTGAGTGAGGTTAGAAAACTCAGGGGAGGTGGACTAGATATTATAACATAGCTTCAGCTCTGAAGTTATCAGTGTGTGAGAGAGTCTAGATTCAATTTAGAAAATACACAAAACTCTGAAATAGGATGCACAGTGAAAATAGCAATGAAGCCCACAAAACAATATGCATTATATAACCTAAAATTCACAAAGTCATTTTCAGGGTCTGGGAACTCCTAAATTTAAACGTCTTATAGCCTCAGCAGGAGTAAACAGGCCCTGCAGCTGAACAGCAAAAGCAGGCAACTGAGGCTGCCCTTTGGCCCTTCCTCTTATCAAGGCCTTACCCCTTCCTAAGGTCCAATGAAACCATCACAGTGTCCGGATGAAAAACGTGTGGCCTTGGGCAAACTGCTTGCTTTATCTCTCGGCAGTAATCTATCCAAAACGGATAGCTTGGGTTTTAAGGCCCAATCAAAAGGAGAGGGACACTTGTCAGTGTTTTGTTCTTTCCAAGTACAGATATAAAGAGCAGCTTTTCTCTAATACCATAATTTTACAAAAGAACAATCTCTTGACAGTTGTGTACATTTGAAGACCACTAGTACCGATAGGACTGTGATTGGAGTCCAGATCTGGGGTCCATCTGCAGCCATCAGATCCTGGCTCCCCCACTCCCCTGGGGTGTGACTGGGTAAGTCATCTCCCCATGCCTTAGCTTTTTCACATGCAAAGTTAAAATAATGATATACCACATTTTTTTCTTTCTATGCCTTTTCAAAATACACTTCTGGAAAAGGAACTGAAGGGGCTGGCCTTTAAATCATGTCTGAGTCATCATACAGAGCTATTAGTGACCTTTATCAAAGGATGATTAATGAGCTAATGGAGCATTTAGGAGTGCCCAGCACACACTGGATGCTCTTTAAGTGTTAGCTGTCACTATTAATTTTCTTACTTTGGCCTGGGCTGATGAAAGCTTTATCAGGGGCTAGCACCTGTCCATACAGATTTGGAAACCCATGGACTGCACAGCTTCTAGGGCAGTCTTTTCTGATAATACTGCTTCTCAAGCTATTTCAAAACTCCTTATTTGTGGAGGCTATGTTTGATACTGCTTATTTTCTCACTGCATTTCTACTAATCCTGGGGCTCGCACAACAGGAGTCCTGGCATATGGAAGACCACCAAACAATAAGTGGCTGGCTGGTGGAGGTTCCACGTGAGTGCCAGGCCACCGTATACGTTTCAGCAGTAACTCTGAACAAAATCCTTAACATTAACGCAGCACTTACTGTATGCCCAGCACTGTGAAGCCCTTTTTGTGTAGTCAGTTGTCACAGTGCCCTGGGAGGTTACCAGTAAGTGGTAGAGCCTGGATTCAAACCCAGGCAGTTTAATGCTAGAGTCTGTGCAGTAAGTCTCTAATGAGGCTGCCTTTCAGGCCACGGCTGAGAGATCTGACATCCACACTGAATTCTCCTTTTCTAAAAGTTCCAATTCAGCAGCAAAACCTGCCATCCCCAAGCTGCTAAAAGCACAAAGGCAACCTGGGGTTTTCATGCAATGCAGCAGCGAGTTTTACCAGCCCCACATGACACTGTGAGCTCCCCAAGAGGATTTTGATATTAGCTTACCGAAGCAGTTCACCTTGGACTTCAATCAAGTGCTGCCTTTTCTTGTCAATATCTGAAGCCATCTAAGTAATAGAATAATTTCTTTGTTAAAAATGCTTGAGTATCATCAAGTAACACTGTGCCAGGTATTGGAAATACAATGGGAAATAAGACAGACGCCACTCTCACCATCATGGAACTTTGGTCTAACAGGGAAGACAGACATTGTACCCAAACAGTACATAATCACCACTTAGAGTATGTACTGCAGGGAGACCTTACTACTCTGTAAGCTGTACAGTAAGGCATTTCAGCTTATCTAGGTACACTAAGAAAATCTTAAAGCAGGAGACTAGCTTTAACATGACATGATCTACATTTTTGAACATTTCAATATAATACATTTTGTTATCCTCAGTGCAACATCCTAATATTCCATTGCTGGCCATTCATACTATTCCCATGTGTTGTAAGTAATAAGAAATTAAAACTAAAACAAAGGTTTATAATCACTAAAAGGAAAACCTACATTTCAAGTCCTTTTCTGAGGTGAAGGTTGAGGGAGCTGTTCTTCAGCTCCTGGGCTCATGCAGGTTCAGAGCTAGAATCCCAGAGGTCTCTGGTCCAACCAGAAACTGATGGGGACAGTTTCCTGGCTTGTTTCTCCTATACACAGTGGTGTACAGTTTTCAGAAAGGTGGTATGGCTCTGAACAGGCAGAACCACAATAGGAAAGGAGGCCTCCTGGCCCTTAAGCAGGCTGTCCTTTACCAGGGACAGCTCTTTAAAAGGTTTGCTTTTTCACATCCACAAAGGTGATACACGCACATTACTTAATACTTAGCCTCAAAATGGATATCCACTTGTATGGACAGCTAGGATGCCCGTTTGTTAATGTGCAGTCAGAGTACTCAACCACAGGATCAGCCAAGTCAAAGTCTGATTAGAGGCCATAAACCCAGAGTTGAGTCTTCACCCTGCATGTGTTCGTGTTCTTTCTAGAAGATCATGTGCTCCCAAGTGACTTACCTTAGCATTCTTCCTTTTCAGAGTTTTCAGTGTCTGGACTTCTTTAAGCTACACAAAATAAAAAGTATCACGTGTATTTTCCAAATTAAACCATGAGATACAGAAAGTTCTTTACCGCATTGTCAGCAAATGCCATCTTGCCCGGCGGTTAGTTACTGCCTCAGGATTAGTTACAAAAGAAACTCAGATCAAATTTAAGTCAGTGAACTTACTATTTTGATGAGTTCTTCTTTCATATTACAATGAAACTTGTTGATGGCTTCCTTACAAATTTTAGATTCTATTTTTTGTCTGTATCAGAAAAAAAAGGATCAAACTATCACATAAAGGATTTGGAAAGATACGTTTCATTTGCTAAGTACATCAACAAGCAATTTGGCATATGCCATTTTTAATATCTAAGATGGCATACTCAGCTTACAGCCCTTTTCTCAGGCTTAAAAAATATTGGAAATGTCTCAACAATGGGAAAAGAACAGGAAATATTTTTCCCTAAACCTTCAGGTGGGTGGTTAGCTTTGCTCCAACAATGGCCACATGCCCCGGTGAAGGCAAGTGACATACCAGTGCCCACAGCCAGTCCCCAGATCCCTGCCCGGCAGACTGAGTTCCTCCCTCCTGCCAGCTGGAGGAGTAACTGCATAGTCGTGTCTGGACTAACCAACCGTAAGTACACAGAAGCCAGCCACCCACTGCTCCAAGCAGGATAAAGCTGAGCCAACAGACGGACTGGCTCGGGCCCTGTCACATCTAGTCGCTCAGTCTGGCTCACTCCTCGCTGAACGGCAGGCTCACAGGGACTGCGCAGGAGCAGCCAGACCCCAGCTCTGCCCCAGCGCAGTAGGACACTGCAGTTTCCAGTGCCCTTGAACTGACTGTAATACATCTCATGGATCAAAGTCATTTTTCTTGGGGGCAAATCCATAGAAGTCGCCCAGAAGAAGTGTACCAAGCCCGTGGCCCAAATTTTCAGAAGCTAAACATAACATGAGAGAAGGCCTGCTCTTTGGACACAGTTCTTTGTATAAGTTCTCATCAAAAAATGGGTGTTACTATTTCTAGTGACAGCAAGATGGTGGAATAGGAAGCCCCCAGACCTCATTCCCATACAGGGAAAACAGCTTAACAACTATATAATTCAAGAAATCACTTAAGAAGTTGCAGTACCCCCAGCAAGTCCAAAGCCAAGAACGGTGCATGGAACAGGTAAGAAAAGCTGTTTCTATCTCCTGTGTCAGCCCCTCTCCTGAGCCGGCACAGCTGTGGGATGGAGGCTCAGCTCATGGTTTCTCCCTTGAGGGGAAATGGAGTGGCCAGTGTGTCTGATGCTGGCTGTTCAGGGGGCTGCCTTGCCCAACTGGGAGTGCAGACAGGGTCCCAGCATACTCCCGATGCCTGGGGGCCACGAGAACAAGCCATCTCAGTGACTTGCTACACAAAGGAACGACCTGCAGTGCTGCAGATGGGCTGGCCCAGCTCATGCCTTCGCCCTTGGGAGGGAGAGAGAATAAGTCAACCAACATTCCACTTTTTTAGGGTGCTCCCTGGGGCATGGTTTCTGTGCCACCTGAACTAGTTTGGATGCCTGGGGTGGCAGAGATCAAGAGGGAGCTCCGCAGCTTGAGACAGCGCCGGAGAACCTGCAGTACCACAGCCCAGACACTAGAGGGAGCTCAACCCTCTTAACTCGTGGAAGAGAAAAGGCAAACCTCTCCAGTTGGGGAATGACATGCATAAGCCCACAGAAGGTACAGCCCAGGAAAGAGAACTGAAAGACTAAGCTGATTGAAAACCAGTCTGCAAAGACTGGAAGAATTGGTAGCTTTTTGAAATACACAAAACAACAAAAACAGCACAAGAAGAAAGGGGAAAACATAACCCAACAAAGGGAACAATCCCTCCAGAAACAGGAAACCGGTGAATTACCCAACAAATTGAAATCCATGCCAGAGAACAAGATAGTAATACATTCTTCCAACTATGTTGTTAATTACAACAAATATGAGCAGACTAAAAGTCAACAGGTGAAATCAAAAGATGAACACATTGGATTTTAAAGAGATATTATAAAAAATATTAAAACTTAAGGTGAAATGTCAGAAGTAAAAGTAAAAAATGTAAAATCTGGCATAGACTACTACCAAAAGAAGTGTAGTGACACAGTAAGAAAATGTTCAGTCTACTAGACAGCAAATTTTAAGCCTGTTCTAATAAAACAGTCTTTAAACGTATCTAAATATATATAGCATAAATTGATGGAAGTACCAGGAAAAATTGAATACTGATTCTGTACAAATCCAAGATTAAACATAAACCCACTAGAGATTCCCCACAGATTACATACTAGGCCATAGAGAGCCACAAAATTGCCACACACACAAAAAAGGTATCCCCAGCCTATGATATTCAACAAGATATTTTGAGATAGAAGGTTAAAACAAAAATTTTAAGTCATATTTGGGCATACAAAAACACTACTAAATAATTCCTGGGATGAAAGAAAAAAAAATTAAAATGAACAATAATGAGATTATATGTGTCAAACACTGGGATGAGCAGAAGTGGTACTTCAAGGGAGACTTACTTATATCCCAGGAGGGTTTCCTCAAATGCAGACAAAACAACGTCTAACTCCATAATGTCACTGGTTTTCTTTTCTTTTAGACACCAAATATGTACATAGTCAGGAAAACCTAGAACATTAAGTCAATTTAATATATTGCCAGTACTGGCTCTTAAGTCCAGGGTTCTGAAAACCAACAAAAAAACTATCCCACCAAGTTGCTAAAAATAACTCCAACTGAAGCCGTACAAGGGGGGAGCCGTACTCACATCTTCCGACCCCGGGCAGGGGGCACTCCCAAGGCCCTGTCTGTGCCTCCCTCTGCCCTCTGCTTGGTTCTCCACATCTGCTGAAGCAGCCTAAGCCCGCTGCCCCTCAGCAGCCTTACCGTGCCTTTCCCTAATAGTCTGTTGCCCCACGAGCTGGTGATAGAGCTGTTTGTTAATCGGCACTTCTTAACTTACATAACAGGCCACTTTTAGAACGCAAAGATTACTCACTGTACTGACTTAGTTAATATCTAGTAACATTAAATACAGTACAGTCATGAAATGAAATATTGCGTATTAAAATGGTACTGTACAAGGCTTAGTGACAAGTTGTGATCCCATTTAGGGGGAGAAAAGCTCAGCAAAAGGACTGAAGAGTAAAATTCAAAAGCCATGATGGTTATTTTGGGGTGATGGAATGGCAGGTAATCTTATCTTCCCATCCCTCAAAATTTCCTAAAATAAGCATTTTTATAAAAGAAAATATCTTTTAGAAGGCTGAAGGAGAGAAAATGCTTTTTGTGTCAATGAAAACGATACAGAGTAACATGGATGAATCTCAGTTATGTTGAGTAAAAGAAGCCTTATACGAAAGAATACACTCTGTGCTGAAAAAGTAAAAAAGATTACTATGAGAAAAATCTAGGTACTGGGGATATGAACTTATATTGTAAAATTCTTTCGCCTTTGTTGTATGTTGAAAGTTTTTATGATAGATATTGGGAAAAATCAGTTACTCCAAAGTCAATACTTTTAACATTTTAAAGTGGCATTTTAAAATGTAAAACATTTTAACATTTTAACAATATGTTCATTTAAATAAAATTTTTGAATGATTGACAAAGTATAAAATACTGGTCTGTACCTGAGTCTATGGCTTTGCTTCTTGACTTCTTCCCTTTGTCACAAAACACCTTTCTTCGAGTTTTCTACCAAAGAAAACACAGCAAAGATTTTTATTTAAGAAAAGTTCTTCTCTTAAAACATCAGGATTAAGAGAGTATCTCAAACACTGTTAGGTAATATTTTAGCTATTCTCATTTAGTTCTAATATATAAACTACCTCAAAAAGTAACTAAAACTTTAAGTTGGCTTTTAGGAGTGGTTGCCTTGTTATTTATAAGACGATGACGTGTGGAATCAGCTCAATTTCTGCTCCGAGCTATGAGGAAGTAACAGCTTCTGAAATGTTTTGCCATAAACCACCATCAAATTGGGGGTGGGAGGAACTAGATTCAGGCATGAAGACAAAAGGCCAAACAAGGCTGGGTACTGGGCAGGCAAACCCTGTGAATGCCTGGCCACTCCCTCCACGCCCGGAGCAGCTCCAGGCTGCACTGCTGCAAGCTGAGCCCCTGCAGAGCCCTGCGCCACCGCTGCCGAGGCGCCAGGGGAAGAAGTCACAGCACAGCTGGGGGAGGCCCCCCGAAACTTCCTGACTGAGTGCTTCCTGTGCACAGAGCCAGACCACATCACGTCTGCTGGAAAGCAGCTGTCATGGGATTAAGAACCTAACAGGCAATAGAGGACAAGCAATTCTGGGAGAAATTAGATGTAGAAAGTACAGACCTCATTCAAACTGAACACCTGAGTTAAGAGAAAGCCTGCACCTTAGGAGTAAAAACCACTCTCTCGAGCGTACAATCTCAAACAGGGCCATGTTTTTCCCAAGGGGGGATGTAAAGGAATTCTTAGATACATTTGTGGCCCTCCAAAGGACCCCAGTTCGTAAACATATACAGCATACTTGTATTGATGATACAGTTTAATGATTTCACCCCCACAGTGGGGGTGAAAAGGAGAAGAAAATGTCCAAAACCTTATTTTTATGGAAGACAATGAAAAGAATTGAAAACACTGCCCTAGAGTGTAGACTGACCCTAAGAAAGCATCAAGCCAGCCTCGGACCAGATCCAGCAGGGAGACAGACTAAAGGCTGTGGGAGGCAGGGTTACAAGGCGAGCCCCAATGGTTTGTGGAACCCCCTCCCCTTGAAATGGGGGGTGGTGCCCGTGAATATAACAGATGGTCCCTCCCTCGCTGAGTCACGTCACCTGAGACTCCCTTGCAGCTGCCTGGAGAGAGGGCAGGCTTTGAGGACGGTAGCTCTGTTCTGTGACAGGCCACATGACTGGGCCCTCAGGGCGGGCACCAGGAGCCGAGGTGACCCCAGCTTCAGCTGGAGGAAACGACCCTCAGGCCCACAGCAAGGAATCAACTCCACCAACAGTCTGGACCATCTCTGACGGGGACCCTGGGCCGCGGGGATGTCAGCCCTGCTAGTCTCCTTATGGCTGACTCGGGGGCCCAGTGGGGAATCCAGCTCAGGTAGGCCTGGACTCCTGACCCACAGAACAGAGACAAATCCACGTTTTAAGTCACAAAGCCTGGGGATTTGTTCTGCACCTGAGAACGCACAGGTTGCATCCCACTCAGACCTGGAAAACCGCAGGCTTTCCACAAACGGAGACAAAAATAAAACCAAACCCGGTGAGGTTCAAGGTGATCTGAGCCGTAACCAGGCTACCTATTAAGGTCACAGGTTCTTGAGACCCTGAATTCTGTTAACAGCGTCCAAGACACAAATGAAGAGTTACTAGGATAAAACTGTTTCCCAGAAAGTGTGGCCCAGAGTCAAGGCAGAAATAGTAGTAAAAAGAAACTGACCCAGGGACAGCAGGTACGTGACTGAGAAAACAGACTTTAAAGCAGCTTTCATAAATGTGCCCAAAGAAGTTACTGACTAGGAGTGAGTAAATAAAGCTGAGGGACCTCATCTCTAGGTCTGCCTGACAAACCGCAGCGGCCTTCACACTGAAACACAAGGACAGTAACCAGTAACACAAACACACACCACACTGGGAAAGGCAAGTACGGTCTGACTCAGATGCACTAAAACGGTATCAGGGCCAAGTGCTAACCACTCTAAAGGGTAAAGGACAAGAGTGTTAAAAATAATTACAGCTAATTTGTCAATCAATAAACACTATGAGAATTTGGCTATGTTGTGACATCAAAGCAAGGGAGTAAAAGGGGTAATTTTTTTTTTTTTGAGAGGGCATCTCTCATATTTATTGATCAAATGGTTGTTAACAACAATAAATTCTGTGTAGGGGAGTCAATGCTCAATGCACAATCATTAATCCACCCCAAGCCTAATTCTCATCAGTCCCCAATCTTCTGAAGCATAACGAACAAGTTCTTACATGGTGAACGAATTCTCATATAGTGAATAAGTTCTTACATGGTGAACAGTACAAGGGCAGTCATCACAGAAACTTTCAGTTTTGATCACGCATTATGAACTATAAACAATCAGGTCAAATAGGAATATTCGTTTGATTTTTATACTTGATTTACATGTGGATCCCGCATTTCTCCCTAAAAGGGTTAATTTTTATATGCAACTAAAGTTCAGTTATCTTAAGCATAAAACAGACATGCATACAACTTTCACCTAAGATACCAAACACACGCCATGTTTTGTGTAAGCCTCGTACTACCCGTATGGGCAGGGACCCATCCTGAGGAACTAGGTACACTTAGCAGTGCGGCGCATGTTCAGTGCGTGGGGAAGGTGAAAAGTGAAGGTGGGGTCACAGAGACACCTGATTCTTAATATTTTTGAACATGATAATTGTTTATTCAAAGCATCAAACCAACTGAATAAAACGACATAGTAAAGGCTTGGCCAAAAGGTATGTCAAGAATCTTATAACATGTGGAATGCAGAAATTTTATAATGACTATTTTTCAAAAGAATGGCCAAGGGTGTGCACATTTAGCTAGAAATTCGAAAAGCACTAAAAACTTACTAATTGCAACGGTTGATTTGTAAGAGATTAAACTGGCGCCCTGGAGAGTGTCACTCAGCCATCAGGGTGCTGCTGGAGGGCACTGAGTGACAGGACGTGGCCCTGCCGGGCAAGAGAGGCTCGGCGCGGAGGACAGACCAGAATCGCTGGGGTTATTTTTGGGTGCTGGAATTATAGATGACTTTACCTCACTTCCCGTTATCTTCCAAATTTTCTACACTACTTATAAGAAAACTATAAACTTCATCTTTTAGAATGAACTTGAGAGAGAAAATGCTTTATTTTCCTCCTAAACATTTTCAATCAACTTGTTTTTGTTGATTGGGGGATGGCAGACAGTCTCTTACCAGCTGGCCTTCTGTCGCCAGGGTCCCGTTCTTCACAGAGGGCGCGGCACGGCGGGCCCCCGCCTTCCGGGGAGCCGCAGGCCGCGCAGGTGTCCCGGAGCGCTGTGCACGCCCCGCCGCACGCCGCCGCGCGCCTGCTGCCTCTGCCGGGGCAACTTCGCTGCCTCCGCCACCGTCTTCCGCGCTTTCGGAGTCGTCACTAACGGGCAGGGGCTTTCTCCCTGGCTGCACCGACAGGACAGCTTTACTAGGTACACAGTACAGATGCGAACCGCCCTCACGGTCTCGTTTCTAAACTGGACGTGATCAGCGGACACGACAGGACACTAGCCTGAAGACCTCCAGGTAAAACGCCCCCCACTTCGCTCGGCCTCTAGATCATTCACCAAAGGCATTACTTGAACGCTATGAAAACTGGTAAGGTATCCGGAGATGTGATGAAAGTAATGAAAAATACTTCAGATATAAAAATATTTCCTTGAAAAACGCTGCTGCACATTTGCTCTATTTATAGCTGATCTAAACAGGATATGAAATATTTTACAGAATTTCTGATACCTGTATCCAATCTAAATAGGCTATGAAATATCTTACAAATTAAGAGAAGACGCCTACATACCTTTTTTGCACTAATTTCTACAGACTCATTTTCACTTGCTTCAATTTCAGAAGTGTCTGAACTGTACCAAAGAAACAAGCCATCAATGAATACCTTGAACACATTTCAGTTTTTTAATTCACTTCTTCTACACACTGCTCTTCCGACACGAAAATATGTTCCGTTGAATGAGATCTCCCCGGTCAGGGTGGCCCGTGACCCTCCCCGACTGAGCGGGCGCCCCCCGCCCCGGACACCCGGGCCAGTGTACCCGGCAGGCCGGAAGCGTCCTGTCAGGGCGGCACCCTGTGGCCGCTCTGAGAACTGCGCCTTCCTCCCAGAACCCTACGCTCCCAGGGCGCCCCCGCCCCCCGCGCCCGACAGCCGATCTGCAGACAGGGCAACACCTTTTTTCCCTTGCATAACCCTCAACTTCAGAGACACGAGAGTCAGCTCAGTTTTTCATTCCATTCAACACAACAAACATGTATGTTATACTGACTTAAAAATGCAAAGAACAGTGAGTAGAAATGACTTGAGAAATGGGGCCTTCCTGTAACGCGTTCACTGTCCAGCAGGACGGCCACGCGGGCACCGGGGCTGTTCATTCCCGCCTGACGCCAGGCCCCTCCGGCGGGCGGTCCCGCAGAGCTCGCGGCGGGCCGGCCCAGGGGCGAGGCTGCTGCACGGCGGAGGCCCCTCCGCCCCAGCCCGGCTCCCCACCCTCACCTGCCACGGCTGTCACTAATGAACCTCCCCAGACTCGCTCTGCCTCGGCGTCTCCTTACCCGATGATCCAACTGGAACAGAGGCCTTCTCGGCCATGCATACGGGCCACGGGGAGCCCCTAAAAGCGGTCAGCATGACAGGTAAGACTTGCATTTCAAAAGATCCCGCCAGAAACTGTGCGGGCAGGCGGGCCAGAGGCAGGAGCGGTCCCAGAGAGGAGCTTGCAGGGGAAGCCACGGCAGGGCCGCTGGCGGGGGGCAGCGGCAGGGAGACGGCGGGGTATGGACAGGAGAAAGGGGGGTTCTCCAGGGGGCCACAGGCCAGAACGGTGGGACTGGTCAGAGGGCAGAAACCAGCAGCGACTCTCAGACCGAAAACAGAATGGCCTGATGACCCCGGAGGGGGGAGCACAGGCCTGGGGGGCTCTGCCCTGGCGACCCCGACGTGACCATGGGCATCTGGCAGGGCGCTCTGGCCTCAGGAGGAAGGGGCAAGCACAGCCCTGGGGGAGGAGGGCCTGTGGGGAGCTGAAACAGGCTGCGGCAGGTGGGTGGACAGGGAGATGAGCAGAATCACCCACACGCCAGGGGCAGCGAGGGAGAAGGCCAGGGACCAAGAACTGAACCGCCCTGGGAGGTTTTGGGGCCTGGATGCCAAAGCCTCCGCGAGTCCTAGGAGATGCCGATCCCTCTCCGTCCAGTGCACCCCTCTGCCCGGACCTCCTTGTGGATCCATGGACAAACCCTAACTTGCCCAAATAATATCTTCTGTTTGGACTTATCACACCACCACCACCACGATTTCCAACTGCATGTGACCCTCCTGACCCCACACCCACCCCACCCTGTGCCTGTGGACAGACACGGCTCTGGCTTTTCCTCCTCCAGCCCCGTCTCTCTCTGTTGCAAGCTCCTTCCCCCCATCCACACGGGGCGGCTTTTCTGAGGGACGGCCTGGGCCTCGCCTCCTCTCAGGCTACTGTCTCTGTGGCCTCACCATGCCCACAGCTCATGTCACCTACTCACAGACAAAGTGGCATGAGCCCCAGTGGACAACAGGCCCAGGCACCTCCACACCAAATCCACCATGGCTGTGAGGACGGGATGCTCCACCTCTGACGACAGCCCCCCCATCAAACACTCCCACACGCTGGAAAGCCACGGCGGCAGCCCCGCCCTGCCCTCCTGGAGCCCTGCCACCAGCGCTGCCACCCTGCTTCCTACCCACTTCTTGAGCCCACTCACTCTTCTCCAGTGGCCCCAGTCCCCCCTCCACCCCCGGCTACCACAACGGCTTCCACACTGGCCTCTGCAGTCCATTCCTGCCTCTCTCAAATCCCTTCTCCATATGCAGCCACAGGGAGCATTTTTAAATGCCGACCTGAGCATGTCACCCCTGCTCAAAATTCTCCAACTAACAAAATTCCTTACCCAGTTAAGATAGGATTAGGTACAGCTGCAAATGGCAGAAAACACACCCCCAAACAGTTTATACAAGATATTCTATTTCCCTGTCAGCAAAACTCCAAAGACAGCTTGGGGCTGGTTTAGCAGTTCTACCATCAGGAGAGACCCAGATTCCTTTTACCTAATGATCCATTTTCTTAGTATGTGGCCTCACGGCCCAATAAGGTTGCTAAGCTTTGGCCATCACATCCTATTCCAACCATAAGGAAGGAACAAAGAAGGGCATAATCCTCCCTATAAAGACACTTTCAGAAGTTATAGATATTTCTTTGGCTAAAATTTAATCATATAGACAATTAGCTGTAAGAGAAGCCATGAAATATTTATTCGGCCAGCCATCTGCTCAGCTAAAATCAATTATTTTATCACTAAAGAAAAGGGGAAGACACTGGGGTGGACAACCAGCAGTCCCTACAACCATGACGAAATAATAACCACCTGCAGCGTGCCCCCCTGCATGCTATTTACCGACTCACCACGCCTCCTCCCGCCATGGTGCCTGACACATGCCCTTCACCGCGTTTGGTGACCTTTGCATAAACAGACTCTGGAATGGCCTTGGCCAACCCGCCCCTGTGCCACAGGGAAGGCGAAGCTCCAAGAGCTGGTATGTAAGCACCTCTGACGTACACTCAGTGAATAAAGCTCGGCACCACGGCCCACGACTTCTCCCATATAAGAAAGCTTGAAAGTATGTATTCCTACTTCTACATGCACACAGAGTCTGAAAGGACAGAGAAGAGATTAATAATGGGGGAGAAAGAAGAAGGGGGTGCAACAGCTGCATGTGTTGGAGATGAGATAGACTATTTATTGGGAATCTTTTTGCATTTTTAAACCACGTGACTTGTGTTATCTATTCAAAAAAATTGCTCTTTAAAAATTACATCATCGTTTAAAATAAAGTGTGTGTTCTTCTGAACATTTGGTTTCAGTAGTGATTTTCAGTAACATCCCATGGAAAACCTGGAGTCTCCATACTGATGGAGCACCGTGAACCCTCCCGCCGCAGATGACCTGAGACCTTCTGATGCAGACGTCCGCCCAAGAAGAGTACTTGTTTGTAAAATGCCGTTTTTCTACTTTCAATGTATACTCAATAACTAGAACTGACTTATTAACTAATAAAGGTCCTTAAGTCGAGAATTTGCTCTCACAATTTATAATCAGTACTACAGTTCCTGAAGGGTTCATTATATAATTTGACCTCCAGTTGCCTCTGTGGAGTTATTTTCACATGACCCACGCCTTCAGGTCAATTTGTAAAACTCAAACCAGAGCTTCCTAGGGCCAATACGTCTGCGACACACAACAGACTGCGTGTGTCCGTGTACGCAGTACCCCCTGCTCCTCGGGGCGCCATCTCCTTTGCGACAGAGAACTCAGAAATCAGAAGGACCTCTCAAAGTCACCTACAATTCTATGCCCATAAAACCTCTCCCTCCTTCATTTGTTTTACCTTCACAGGCATGCATTCCAGGATAATCAGCATTTTTTGTTATTAAATTGCACTTCTATCCATTGAGGTACAACTGACATATAACATTAGTTTTGGGTGCAACATGATGTGATATTTGTAAATATTGCAAAATGATTGCCACAGTAAGTCTAGTTAACATCTATCTGTCACAACTAAAAAGTTCATAGAGAATTCTTTCTTGTGATGAGAACTTCAAAGATCTACTACTACCAACTTTCAAATATATGATACAGTGTTATTAACTACAGTCACCATGTATACATTTCATCCCCATGCCTTTTTTGTACTGGAAATTTGTACCTATAATTAGTAGTAAGTAATGTCAATTAAAAAAAAATTACTTCTTATGTACTACTAGTTCTCCTGAAAGTTGGCTCAAAAGATCTTTAAAAAGCTCTAGTTTTTATAAGCTTCCATCTTAAAGAGCTTCTAGGAAACCCCATTACCCATGAGTAAACAAATGTAGAAACATAAGGCACCTTATTTTTGCTTCTTTTCCTTGAGGAGGTGAAGGGGTAGATGATCCACAGAGTCTGGAGAATTCTTCCTCATCAGCATATATAGCCGTGCTGTGTAAGGGGGGATCTAGGAAAGATGGAAAACAAGGGGGCAGCGGTAAGAGGCCGGCTGCTGGGCCGTGTTTGAGTTTGTTCCTTTACAAGGGGGCACAAAGCAACCTCTGTCTCAATGGCTCACAGAATCACAGTCAGTCACGCAGGCTACCTGTCAAAGATTTTTGATCTCACAACTCAACAATGAAAAATTCAGACCATTTCATCAATAAATACATGGATGTTTATCAACAATAACCTGTATTACTGTCCTTACATATTATATGGAAATTTTTTAATGAGAAAAAATATAAATACACCCAGGAAGTCTGACATTCTCTTCCTTCACCCAGTGGAGCCCTGCACCCTCCCCCAGGAGACTGCATGAACCCCAAGGCAGGCACTCCTGCGGCTCCATTCCCTCCCCAAGTGCAGGGTCAATGTTTGTGGATGAATGGCCTCTTGGGGGTGGGGAGACAGTCCTCCCTCACCTCCCTGGTCCCTGCTGTCCTCTGCAGCACTAGAGCCTCTAAAATGAGGAAGCCGATGAAAGGGGGGACCAAACGGCCCTGGCGGAAGGCAGGGAAAGGAGGTGCCGAGAGGAGGAGGAGGCGCCTACCTCCTTGGGAAAGTGTACCTGCGAGGCCTGGGCACCGGGTCGGGCTCATGGCAGGGGTGCAGGCGAGGGTGCTGGGCAGGGGGCCGGCAGGGCGGAGCCAAGTGACTGCAGGGGCTGCCTGCGGACAGCAGAGCAACCATCCCTTCATGCTCCGATTTCAGCAAGGCAGTGCAAATTTAAGTGACATGTTTTCCAATAAACAGCTGCTTAAATAAAGCCCATATCAACTGCACAACTGTAAAGTTAGTAACACACTCTGCACTGCCCTCAACCAGGCAAAGGGATTTACTTACTACTTTGAGAAACAAGAAAAATATAGACTAATCCTGAATCTCTGTATGTAACCAGTCAAACAAACTGGACTCTTATAATTCAATAAAAAGATAAACAGCCCAATTTAAAAATCGGTAAAGGGTTTGAACAGACATGTCTTTAAAGAACATAATACCAATGGCCAGTAAGCAATGAAATGCTATTCAACATGGCTAGTCATTAGAGAAATGCAACCCAAACCTCTGTGAGATACCACGTCACATCCATTAAGATGGCTATTAGCAAAAAAAAACAAAACAAGTGAGGATTTCGTGGAGAAATGGAACCCTTGAGCACTGCTTGTGGGAATGCAAAAGGGTGCAGCCGCTGTGGAAAAACGGCATGGCGGCTCCTCAGAGGTCCGAACACAGAATCACCATATGATCCAGCAGTTGCACTGTGGGGTACGTTTCCAAAAGATGTGAAAGCAGGGACTTGAACAGATATTCACAAGCACCGAAAGGTGGAAGCACCAAATGCCCACTGACAGATGAACGGATATGCATACAGGAAGGAATATCACTGTTTTAAAACGGATACTGAAGGACAATCGCCTGATTCAAGGAATGAGAAGTTGGGCTTGGGGGGTGGGAGATGGTGTTTGACGGGACAGGATGGACGGTGAGTGACGGCACACTGTGAGCGCATGATGCCACGGACTGTATGTGAAAAAACGTAAAACGGTGAATGTTATGTTATGTATACCTTACTGCACAAACACAATGAGGTGCCACTTCACACCCACTAGGAGGGCTAGAATCAAACGGACAGTAACAGGTGTTGGCAAAGATGTGGAGAAACTAGAACCCTCGGACTGCTGGTGGGAATGTAAAGTGGCACCACCGCTTCGTTAAACAGTACCTCGGAAAGTTCAAGTGGAACTGTCACATGACTTAGCAATTCCACTCAGGTACACCCAGGAGAAAAGAAAACAAGTGCACAAAAAAACTCGTACACGAATGTTCACAGCAGCATTACTCATAAAACAAAAAGCAGAAACAACCCAAATGTACATCAACTGATGAATGGGTGAAGAAATGGAGCATATCCGACCAGTGGATCCCTGAGCTATGGAAATGGGCGGGAGTGAACGACTGACATTTGCTACAATACAGATTGGTCTGGAAGGTTCTAGTCTAAGTGAAAGAAGCCAGTTGCAGGTGGTCACACAGTGCACAATCCCATCTGTATGAACAGGCAAATCCACAGGGACAGGAGGAAGATTTGGGGCTGCCAGGGGCTGGAGGAGGGATGGGCAGAGAGTTTCTTTCTGGGGTAATTAAAATGCTCTAAAATAGATAATGGTGATGGCTGTACAATTTTGTGAACACACTGAAACACCACTGCACTGTACACCTTGAAAGGGTGAATTTTATGGAAAGTGAATGACATCAATTTTTAAATGATAGGACTTCTTTCAGATTCAGATCTTTTACATTTAGTTTTCTTTTCAGTACGTAAGCAAAACATTTTTATCAAGTCATGAAAGATGTATTCTGGTAATGAGTACTTTTCGCCTTGTAAAATTCACAAATCCCTTATTAAAAATACGAGAGAGGGTATATACATTTTCAAAAGTCCCTTAAAACTTATTCTGGCAAAAATGTCTCATCATGCTGTTCTACATATGGGGGCACTTGGCACTTTATCACTTTTGGCCTCTGGAGTGCCCGGTGACACAGAGACAGAGGCAGTGCCATCTGGACAAGCAGGTGCCAGGCCTGTTTTCCTCACACTCCCAGGACACAGGCGAAGCTCGGCCACTGCTGACCTAAGCATCCTCTGGCCTCTGTGCGTTTAAGAACAGGGCAAGATAGCCCTCCTCGCCTCCTGAATTAAAGCCCCTCGCTGAATGCCTCTGCCGTATGGAGTGAGAAGTATGTTTTATGTCCGTCGTGTTACACTGTACTACAAGAGGTGTTCTAATAGCTTATTGACAGATGCTACTAGCGGCGTTCTACTTTGATATTTAATAGAGTGCTTAGTTCCAATGGACCTGGAAGTAAGAAAAAAGTAATTCAAAATATCAAGTACTCCCTAGAACATTACACTCATGTGGAAGACAATGATTTTCATATTTGAAGACATTTCTCTATTTTTTTTTAAGTAATTAGTCTAAATGCTGTTGCTTAAACTTCAAAGTTTTTAGGATAAAGATGTATAATACTAACCAAAGGTTTCATAAGGTTCTTCATCTTTCTCATTGTCAACCAGCCTGCTGATGCTTGAGATATGAGAATCATCAGGAAAATCAAATACATTGGTAGGCGCGGGCTTTTCACCAGCTTTCTAAAAGTGAATAAAGTCCAAGTCATTGAATTGGCGCTAACAAACAAGAACATCACAAAGGCCATTTATGTAGCAAGACACTCCTGGTATCACTACTGCCCAAAGAAGCGATCTTTAACACCGTTGGGGGCACACAAGACTCCTTGCGTATTCTAAGGCAGGGGCGCTGGCAAGATTTTCTACAAAGGACAAGAGAGTAAACGTATCAGACTTTGTACACCGTAGGGTCTCTGTTGAAACTACTTAACTCAGTCGTTATGGTGTGAAGGCAGACACAGTAAGCATGGCCGTGTTGCAATAAAACTTCATTTCTGCATATGGAAAGCTGAATTTCATATCATTTTCACATGTCATGAGACATTATTTCAACCATTTAAAACTGTAAAAACCATGTTCTTAGCTCACAGAGCTGTACAAAAATAGGGGACAAGCCAGATTCGGCCCAAGGGCCGTGACTGCCAGGCCTGGGCCCTCTCCCAGTGATATGCCCATACACCTGAAAGGCCATCAACTGTTCTGAGGACACGGGGGCAAAAGCTCCTGACTTGAGGCCGGAGACATGATTTACAGTTCCATATACTAATAAGCCCCATGAAATTTACCATCCTCAATCCTCATGTAAGGCCAAAACATACAGAAAATGAGAGAAACTTCCACAGCAGCTCTGGAAAATTGGACGGGCACCATTGGCAGACAAGAAACCATGAGAAAATTCTGTACAATTCAAAGGAGATGGAATAAAACTGACAACAACTTCAGCCGTCAGTGAGCGCTCGCTGAAGAGTCTCGCCTGGAGGGCTCCCCGCTGGAAGGCAAAGAGGAGCTGAGTTCCCTCCACCCTCCTCCCGCCCTGAAGCATCAGACCTGCCTTCCAAAGAGGGCACCTGGTCAGGACAGCTGGGAAATCCGTCCCAGGCACACTGCGCTTCAGCCGCCTGGGGCTGAGAGCTCTCCATCCCCAGGCAGAGCCAGCTCAGGCCGGGGCGGACACAGCCCCCTGGGCCTCCCTCTGAAGGCCAGGCGGCTCGATAGCCAGGGGGGCACCCGGCACCCTCCTGCGACATGGATGAGACTTCCCAAAGCAACTGGACTGGCCATTGCAAAATAACATGGAGAGTGGTAAAGAAATGAAGCTGTGCCCTCAAGGCTCCACCCTAGAGTACAACTACAATGCAGACTGCGTGGACCATTATGAAATCACAAACAATTGTTGAGAACTGTAATAATAACACAGGGAAATGGCTTTAAGTGAGAAAAGCAAAATACAGCAAGCTGTACAATTTTTACCTGATGTCAATCACCCAACTGAAAACACCACCAACTCAGGTCCAGGAAAAAGATTCAAAATGTTAGCAGTGGCCATCTGCTTCATTACATGGGAAAGAGCGGGAGGAAAAGGAGTAACTTGTTCATTCCAGTGAAACACTGAGCTTATCAAACCAAGTCTAGGAAGCTCTGAGACCCCCACAACCTTCTATTTTGTATTACGACTATAAGAATATTACATCTGAGATATAAAAAAGATGACTTACATCTTTTGTGGACCGTGCCCTTCCTACAGTGTCCTTTGACGATCTCACACTATTAAACAGCAAAAACACACGTTAGAGTTAGCAAATATTTAAAATAACTGGGGGAAACACAACTTGCAATCCCTTCTAAGCGTTTTTTTCCCCAAATTATAATTCTCATTAGTTGCACCAAGACTGGGCACTCAAGTTTGGGCAAAATCGCTTTAGAAAGCAGAACCTGTATCTCACAAACTTAATTATATTTTTTACAGGTCAAATCATATCACTAATGTATAAAACAGCACCTCTCTCCTCAGGTACATAGAAAACTCCTAAACGTGTTCTTGTCCTTGTCCCTGAGGTCCCCATCAATAGCAGTGCCTCACTGTCCCTGCAGACTTGAGCAAAGGAGAGGTACATTAACATTTACTAAGCACCTGACACCCGCTCTACGCTGTGCCTGGCTCCTGAAGGTACATTTTCCCATTTACCTCTAACAGTCCTATAAGGGAGAAGTGAGTCCCATGTTACAGACATGCATTTGCCCAAATCAGCACACAGCCAGGAAGGAGAGGGGCCTGCCTTAAAATCTGCATTAGTTCAAAGCCAGAGCTGCCACCTTCCACCCGCCCCACTTCTCCGCAGTGGGTATTAGCATAAAAGATGAAGTTGCCTATCTTCAACAAGCTGCAAGTAAGTGAGATGTAACAACAGTGACCAGAATAAAAACTGGAAGTAAGAGTGGCATGGAGTAATACTGTCAGGGAATATGCCTGGAACATCATCTGTGCGTCACGCACTATACCAGGAAGCGAGGAATGCCCTGGCAAGATATGGTACTCGGCGCTGGACTACACAACGTGCCTTCCGGTCCCCATCTGCGGGTAGCAAAACAAGTTTGGTGTGTCTGAACCAATATTTCTTTGAGTAACTTTTTATTTGATACACTTTCAAACTTACAGAAAAATTACAAGAATACTAGAAGGCCCTTCTATACCCTTACCCAGCTTCACCAATTGTCTACATTTTGTCTCATCTGCTTTCTGGGTGTGGATGTGTGTGGTAAACTGGGGACACAGAACACCTTTACCCCTCTACACTTCAGCCGGTCTTCCCTGACAGAGAAGGCATCTCTCTCTCTCTGTGATCTTGCGTAGTCACAGTACAACTTCCAAATCAAGAAATTTAACACTGATATGATTGCTTAATCTACAGTACATATCCAAATTATACCAACTGCCCCATAATATCCTGTAAGATTTTCTCCCTAGCATTTTTTTTTTGGGGGGGGGTGTATTTTTATTTCTAAGACAAGGTCATCTCTTCTGAGAATAATTTGAAGACTTTACAGAGAAATAGTACACATTAGAATGTTAGGAAAACACGCATTCAAGGAATTACAAAAAAATTGGTATTTTTAACACATTTTTCCAACTATGTCATGCATATACATAAAAACGCATGTACTTAAAAGCATTGCTAAAAACAAAAATTCATACATTTGTTTTTAATACCCATCGATCCCATCTTTCTCTCATTGCATTTATATAGTCATGTGCATCTTCTTTTCTACCTACCTCATGATATCATATTACACATCCTAACACCAAGTGATTTACTTTATTTTATTTATTTCTAGTTATAATGACTTGTTACATGATAGGAAATTTCTGCCTTTTGGATTTATATGTATGTGTGTGTCTTCTTAAATAACAAATTATGTATTACATTTAGGAAATTATCAACTTGGACTGTCAAAAACAAAGATATTCATTCATTCATGTATTCTTTTATTTACTTATGGACAAATGATACATGGTTGGTCTCTGCTTTCTCTATGAAGATTGGGGCTATTCCTTATATAAAACTGATATTTACATGTATGATGATTTATCAATTTAAAATTCTGTAGATACTGTCAATTATCTAGTTGAATTACCTTGTATCCTATGTATTTTAATAATGTTTAATTCACTTGACTTTTTCATAACTATCCTCCTTATATTCTCTTTTCTGTTAAATTTTGCTTGTATAAATTTTGGTTTTATGGGAATGTGTGTACAATATTTTATTCAAATATCTCAGCACCAAACAAGTGGAGAAATAGTACTACTCATGTTAATATGCACGCCTTTCTCTTTTGTTTGAGTCTGCCAGCTATGTTTTGTCTGTTTTTGTCCCCAAGGCAGAAATGTCATGGATCTACCACTAAGTAAATTGTGTGGCTTTGAGAAAGTTATTTAGCTTTATTGTGATTCTGTTTTCTCTCTTGTAACACAGTAATAAAATAGTACCTATCTCATGGAGTGATTAACCAAAAGTAAGATAAAAATCGATGCTGAGAACCGTGACTGCCACGCATTAAATGCTCCATGAATTTCTCCCTAGCATTTTTTAAAAGGAAATACAAAATAATGAAATTTAAGATTGCACCGGACAGAGCATTTTCATAAGCCCCTTCTGTTATGTTGTACATATGTGTGTGTGTAGTAATCGTGATGTAAAACATGAGTACTGTGAATCACAGAAAACAAAAAAGTTGGAGAACGGGAACAGGGGTTTCTCAAATCGCAGACACCAGCATCACCTGGCTTGTTAACATCGACGGCTTGGCTTCAGCTCAGACGGTCTGATTTAGTAAATCTTGGCTGAGGCTTGAGATTTTGCCTTTCTAACGAGGTTCCTGTGCTGCTGACGCTGCTGGTCAAGGAACTACACTTTGAGAACCACTGCTTTGATTTTCAGCAAAAAATAAAAATAAAATAAGGGAGAGAGACACACAAAAACCACCGGCTTATCTGCTAAGTTTAACTCTCATCAGCTGAGGTTCCAGGCCAAGCCTCTTTCCCCACTGGCCCCAGGAGACCAGCCTCCATTTCTTCCGCCTCCTGCTCTCTCCTGCTCCGCCTGGCTCGCCTTCCATACCACCTTCTCCCTCCTATCTTCCCACGGCCCCGTCCTCAGTTAAGACCTTGTGAACCGACCTCAGCAAGACCCCTGCAGCCAGGGCCAGACCCGGCCTCTGGACGCTCTCCAGGCACCGCCGGCGAGACAGTTGCCAATGCATCCAGGAATAACATTTTGCAACCTTTTTTCAAAGGCATGCCCTTTTTGATTTAAACAAAAAAACGCTTGCTTATCCTGGAGTGCCCCTTTTAAGAATAACAAGAGGCAGATGGTGCCCCACCGGTGATTTGACTCAGCTGGTTTGTTACAAAAACAGCAGGATACTGAAAATAACACTGACCACCGGCCCGAGTGTAAACGCCACTAAAACGCAACACCTGGCAAGCAGCAGGCACTCCACAAATTATGCTGTTTCAAAACACCTGGAGTCCACTTGCCGCTCACACAAAAACAGCTCCAGCTTACGGTCTCGCCTGCCCGCCGGGCAGCTGTAAACTACAATCCCTTGTAGGTAATCCTAGGAGCTGGGGCTATCATTAGCCCCATTTTACAGACGCGGAAACCGAGGCCCCGAGCGAAGAGCTCCACGCTGCCTAGCCAGCCAGGAAGCCGCGCTCCGCGGCGGGAGCAGCAAACCACCGCAGGAGAAAAGGAGTAGCAAACAGGCACTTACCCGGCGCGCCGAGTCCGCCGCGGTGGAGCCATGTCGACCGGCCGCTGCCGCGCAGGCGGAGCTCCCGCCAAACCTTGAGCCGCTCCGAGCGGCCAATCGGAGCCGAGTGCGTCACGCCGCCACACCACGCCCCCGGCCCACCGAGCCATCAGGCCCAGGGCTCCTCCCTGTCCGGGAGCGCGAGGAAAACCCGGCCTGGAATAAAAGGAAGGCGAAGGTGGAGTCCGCGCCTTACAGCCGGCTGCTGGCGTCCTCGGTGCGTAAAGATGTGCCAGGCTTTCCTCCCACCGATACTCCGCGCCAGTTTTCCAAGGCTCCAGCTGTGGGGCGTGGGCTCGTCACGAGGCGCGGGGAAGGGGCGGAGCCGGGGCCTAAAGGGCTCAGGGACCGGCCTGGAGGAGGCGGATCCCTGCCCGGGGTGGTGCGCCTGCGGCTGAGGCGCCTGCGCGGTTGTCTAGGTTACCGCATTGCCCAAGCGAAGAGGTTGGGCTTCGAGTCGGCTACTGTCTCTACCAGCCGGGGCCTTGGCCTGTCATTTTACCCCCAGGCCCAGTTTCCTCATTCGGAAATGGAGAGGGCCCCTTGTGGAGCTAAGAGTCTCTGATTATCACTCTTTCTGTTGAAATATTAATTATTCTGCCAAAAAATGATGTTGGACGCTTACCACGCCATTAAAAAACTATATATCTAAGGCCTAAACGTGAGAGCTGAAACTATAAAACTCTTAGAAGAAACGGCAAAAGCTTCAAGACACTGGATTAAGCAATGATTTCTTGGATATGACGCCAAAAGCACAGTTTGGGGTGATGAGAAAGTTCTGGAGATGGATAGCGGTGAATGGTTACATAACAATGTAAATCTGTACATAAGCAGTGCCGCTAAATCATACAGTTAAAAAATGGCTAAAATGCTAAATTTTGTTATATTTTACAATAAAAAATAACATGTCATGCCTACAGAAGAATACAGCATAAAGTTAAAGGGACCACCATGTACTCACCACTGGATGAAGAAATAAATCATCATAACTCCCAAGGATAACCACCCTAATGGTTTTGTGTTTATCATTCCCATGCTTTTCTACCTGGATATATCAATGTATTAATTATTGCATGTTTCTAAACTTTATATAAATGATAGTTGGTATGTATTTTGCAAGTGCTCTTTCTTACTCAAAGTTATGGTTTTTTGGGTTTATCCACAGTGATGCCCGTAGCTGTAGGTCATTCATTTTCACTGTCTTCAGAATGTATTAAGTAAATACACCACATTTTATTTATTCATTCTCATGTGTATGGATACATCACTTGTTTCCGGTCTTTTTCTTGTTACCAACAACGCAGTGCTAAACATTTACATTCTGCAGGGCATCTATCTAAAAGATTTCTAGGGATGGACTCAATAGTAATAGTACTGTCTCAGGATAAACACTTTTTCAGCTTTACATGATAATGCCAATTTTTACACATTGTTTATAGGCTGTACAATTTACACCCCCTTCAACAGTGTATAAAAAAACCCCTTGGCTCCACATACCTGCTGATACTTAGAATTTCCAAGATGTATTTATACTACCCTGAAACAATCCCAGTGGCCAAGGAAATGGAACATACTCACTAGCTGCCTGGAACCACATAGATTCCTGCTGGGGCTGGTGTGGTGGATGGGATGTAAATTGGGAAACAGGAAATGGATGCTATGGGAAGAGAAAAATCAAGTCCTCTACCGAAAGTTGCCCAGGATTACAGAGCTAGTCATGGGGAAGCCAGGATTCCAACCCAGGCCTTCTAACACCCAACATTTGTTTGCCTCCACAAGGCTGCTTTTTCAGCTAAGCTATTAGTTTATTAGAGCAGTGATTCTCAGTTCTGTTGAGAGACAGGAAGAGGAAAAGGGGCACATTCCAGGATCTCTGGGGCATGTGTAATAGGATAAAGCAAGTCAAGACTATAACATGGAGAAGACTCCCAGTTGGCTCTGCTCAGAGGTTGGAGGGCACTTTGCCTAAGAATAGGATGATGAATAGCAATTTCAAAGTTGCTGGTTATTTGCAGTGCTGGGGGTGGGGCCAGATCACCTTCAGGAGCACCTGAACTATAAAGCTGGGTGCAGAGCCCCAATTGGCATGGGAGGAGAAGAACACAGACACTCTTCCTAAGACATTAATGGAAACATGGGGGCTGGGGGCTGGCAGCTGGAGAGGGAAGGGTCAGTGCAGTGAAGCTTCAGCCGAGGGAAGACCCAGTCGGTGAGAAACTCCGCGGAAGAGAACAGATGACTACTGTTTAGGGAAGCTGTGGCCAGTACATTCTATTTTAAGATGGTGCCTGTGCTGTGTTGTACTCTTTCCATCACTGTTAACCTTGTGGGAGTATTTGCTAGACTCAACAACCTTGTTGCAGTGTATGTAGCAAGGCTGTGAAGACTTAGGGATAGTGGTCAGGATGGGCGCTGGCCGAGCCCTGGAGGTCACCTGGGACCACAGAAGAGGTGGGAAGGGCAGAGACCAGTGACTGCAGGACTCCGGAGGGCATCTGAGCCATGCCACTTTAAGTTATGTAATATAATTTCACATTTGGAAAATGAAAAAAAAAAACACCTATTGCTTTTATAATACAGATACATAAAGTAAAGAACTACAAAACGTATTGGGTCCCTGGGATAAACTGAGGGGTTGGGCATGGACACTTCTGTGGAGTTGGTTGATGTACATATTAGTTCTGTATTTTGGAATTAGTTTGATGTTTAAATGAGAATGTAAATGAGAATATTAATCGTCTTACAGGATTTTCATGAAGATGCGAGGTGAAGAATATGGAGGTTCGTGCGTCTAAAAAAAGGGCTCTGGTCATTTCTGATTGCCTGTGAGGTATTCTGTAGTATTTTCTGTTCAGCACTGTGTCCATTAGAGGGCAGACGAAGAATGGGACTGCAGAGTTGAAAGTGTAACAGGAGATCAGAGCTACTCGTTTTCAGACAGTTGGGTAACTGGTTCGAATACGTTCAAGATTAATTAAGACTAGATACCTTAGTGCTGTTGCTCAACTCAATTTTTCCACTCATGAGCATCATCCTCTTCCATAATTTACCAGATCCATTCCTGGAAGCTTCCCTAAGGCAAGGAGTACGATTTTCTACTGTGAAAAAGAAAATAATTTCCTTCCCCAAATTTCCTACCTTCTTTTTAAACTTCCGACAGCATCTACTATTTATTGCATACACGAAATAACTCACTAAACTTGGCAGTTCTCACCAGGAAAAACCTAAAGCCATTATCTGTTTTAAACAGACCAACTGCTCAACATGTGTAATTATGATGCTGCAAAACCGATGAACTCAATGCCTCAGGAGGGCAAGGGCGGGGGCGAGGAAGGAGATAACCCTTTTAACAAAAAGAGGAAATAAAGTTCGGAAAGGAATTTTTATTCAGTGTTTCTTAAAATGCGAGGGCAGAGAGATTGTTTCCAAACTGTAATGGCATTAGGCCCCTTCATAAGTCACATGCTTCCCAACACTTCCCTGGCTCTGATATGCAACCGCTAAACTTATTTGCTCTGTAACGAATAGTCTACTTTTTCCAGACCTGACCAGCGCTGCGCCTGCCCAGGCTGAGGTCACGATGTCATGACATGCAATGTCACATGCTTCAGATCCCAAACCCTGGCTCCCTGCAGGGCTGGGAGTCTGGTGCAGGAGTGGGGATGGCAGCATTGTAGCAAAATTCAGGATTTCTCCAGCCAAGGAATAGCCTACTTCCAATCTGCACAGGGATTAATTTTATAACCCAAACTTGTAAAAGGGCCAAATGAGCAGAGAAGCTGAGAAAGAGAAAAGAAAACGAGGAACCCCAAAGAAAAAGGTTTTCTCAAGGCAGTAAGGGAAATGCAGTTTCTAAAGCCAGACCTTGTCTCCTTGGTTCCCTCTCAAGCTGTGGTCAAACAAGGACTCTCTGAAAAATGTTCGTATCCTTTCAATGACCTTGTTCGCTCTGACACTACCTTTGGGTGGCCTGAGACCACACAGCTGTGAGGCTGACCTCGTTCAGAGAGTTCAGGGCAAGCAGTGTTCTTACTACAGCGACCCCTTCAGAGAAGCTCAAGTGACACAGCCTTTCCCAATGCCCAGGTGACAACAAAACCTTCCTGGAACCTCTGTGGAAGCAAAGAGCTCCCCCCACCCTCTGGCGGCCACCCTGTACCAAACAGGCTAGCTCACTCACCCCTTTGACCTTGTCACTTAGCATAGAAGATGATTACCAACCACCCTGCCCCTCCACCTCACACCACGGCCAGGTCACACACATGCTTGACTCTGTTTCCTGGGCTTGGAGAAGCAGAAAAGGCATCCTAGAAGAAGTGGCATCTACAGTCTAACTGAAATAAAGCAGTAGGAGTCAGTGAGTCCGGGATAATCTAGGGAGAGAGCATGTGCAAAGGCCCAGAGGGCGTAAGAGCATGGTGCATTCTGGGAGCTAAAATCAGCTCCGTGTGGCTGGAACAGAGTTGGGGAGGTGGTGACACTTGGGGCTAGAGAGACAAGCAGGGGTCCTCGAGTTCCTTGCTCCTCAGCTTGTAGGGCGCAGTCCAGCAGCATTGGTTGCCCCTGGGAGCTTGTTAGAAATGCAGAATTTCAAGTCTGATTCCAGCTTTACTGAATCAGAATCTTCAGCTTAAGTCCGCAGTGATCTGAGCCACTATCATGTTTGAAAAGCGGCCCCGCTCCTGCCCAAGTACACTAAGCAGCTCAGACTTGAGATCAATAGGAACCTTCTGAATGACGAGGCAGGGGAATCATGTGATGATGAGCACTGTGATTCAGAAAAATCATTCTTGCTGCAAAGTGGAGAAGTGGGTGAGTTAGCGGAGACAAGGGGGGCAATTAAGGGCTGGGGCAGCTGTCCCACCAAGAGATGGCCGCCGCCCTGACCGGGCAGTAGAAATAAGAAAAGCAGGGACTTGGGCAGATGTGAGAAGCAGTAGGAGGAAACATCAGCACCATGTGTGAGCCTGGGGCAGTCCCGGGATGTCTCCCAAAGGCCCACGGACAGGCTGCCCAGCAGGGCTGCAGTGCTGGCGGGACAGGCAGTGTCGGTGGGGAAAGCAGGAGACTGCACACGTTGCCCGATGCCGAATGTGAGCAAACTGGTTTTGCACACACCTCACATGTGCCCCTTTCGGTGCCCTGTGCTTAAGTGCCCCTGCAGCAGGCACTGCTGTCACTCCTGTGACTCACCCTCCAATTTTAAC